TCATGAACATCTGTAAACATTGTTGATTCTCTTGTAGTTTACCAAGGATAAATCTTCCCTATTTATATATATCATCAGACTGTTATTCTCCTTTTCAACAAACTTCTCATAGCATTTTCACCCCCCTATGCTTCTCACACTGTGAATTACAGGATTTAACATAGGGGTGAATATTGCAAAACACACAGTCACCCACATGTCCATGAAGCACATGGCAAGTGGACACATGTAGGTGAAATGCAAGGCACAAAATAGAGTACAACAACAGTAAAGGGGTAACCACATGTGGAGAGGGCTTTGCTCCATTCTTCAGAGCCATAGGATTCAGGGAGCTCAAGATAACTACACAGGAGATAAGTAGCATAGAGAAAATGAGCAAGCACATGACAACTGTGGACTGCCACCACCATTCCTAGCCTGTAGGTGTCTCTGCAGGCAAGTTTCAACAATGGGAAGAGAGGATTGCCACCACCACGCCTAGCCTGTAGGTGTCTCTGCAGGCAAGTTTCAACAATGGGAAGAGATCACACATGAAATGGTCAGTGAGGTTGGGCCCACAGAAGGGCAAGCTGACCATGAAAAGAGTCTGCACAGTGGCATGCAGGATGCCTCCAATCCAAGTTACCACCACCAAGACATGAACGAGCCCCTGTCTCATTATAGTCATGTAGTGCAGGGGCTTGCAGATGGCCACATGGTGGTGATAGGTCATAAAAATGAGGAGGATGATCTCCAATCCTCTTAAGAGGTGCTCCATGAGAGCTAAGTGAGGCAGCCCCTGAAGGAGATGGTTGTGCTATAGTAGAGCAGGTGGATGATCATCTTGGGGGCAGTGACACAGGTGTAGGAGGCATCTATGAAGAACAAGTAAAAAAAAAGTAAATGGGAGCCTTAAGGGTGATGCTGAGGGAAATAGTGGTAGCTATGACCAGATTAGCCAGCACAGTAAATAAGAAAATGAGCAAAAAGACAATGAAGTATATTTTCTGCCTGTGTGGATTCTGTGTGAGTCCAAGGAGAACATATTCAGTCTCCTTACTGGGAAGCATGGGTTAATTCATTCAGGTTGTAACAACTTGTGGGGGCCTGCATTATATATAAGAGCTCTTAAAATGTAGTTAATTACTTATAAAATGATCACAGCGTGAATTTCATCGTACCAAGGTTGGGTAGTCACTGTAATTGTAGAGCATATCCTTGGTATCTCTGGTCCCAGTAATTCTTTAACTTTTTAACTCAATTCATGATGTTTTCTTTCTCATCTGATGCCTAGCATTTGTCACCTCTAAAACATCCATTGTCAAAATTAATGCATAATTTATTGAGTGAATACTGGGCTATATACATGAGAGATATGGATTCTTCTCTTGGCTCCAACTCCATGTGACTTTGGCAATTCATTCTGGAGCCCTCTGCTTTTAAATCCTCCTCTGGGAATACGACTTTATATTACACATTGTAACTATAAGATGTATTTTGTAATGTGCTGTTCACAGGCAATGTTTATTCCCTCTGCTAGGATAATTTACATTTGAAGCAGAGCTCTTGAAGGATATGATCTAGACATATCCATTGCAAGAAGGCAGATTAGAAAAATGTACATATCTCTGGAATGTATACTCTCCCCGGAATCTACCAGAGCACATAAGCTATTCACGTCTGTTTTGTACCTGTAACCAATGTAATACTTGACATAGGGTCTTCTGTGTAATACTTGACATAGGGTCTCCAATTAGGTAATGAATAAGTATTTGACAAATTGACATACTTCCACAGTTCTATGATTAAGAATATACGTACTTCCCCAACACATAAGCCTAGGAACTCAAATACACTCATCATCCCATGCTTCCCTTTGTGTGAAACATAAATAGACTTGGTAGGTGTGTACTTCCCAGCTTAATGTTTTCTAGTGTTGGCATCTGCCTACGGGGCTTGGTCCTGTGAAGGAAAAAGTTAGAAAAAGGAGAAAGACACAGAAGCAGGCATGCAGGTGACCACAGACAAGCTGTGCTGCTCAGTTGTGCTGAGTGTCTTTATTTATACATTTTACCATGCATATTGAACTGTTTGCAAGCTTTCAAAGATGCAGTTGAAGTTCTACAGTTAGAGTAGGACTTTAGTGTATATGTTTTTTTGACTTTGTTACTATCATGGATGGTCCTGTTATGCATCATAAATCAAGCCAGATTACTTATGCTGTTCCTCTGCAACTTTGAGGAAGGCTATCTGAGTATACATTAAAGAGGATGATGTGTAAGCCATAAACATTAGATATAATAGGCGTCATATGACCTAGTCAGGGTCAGGATGTTTCTCGTACCCCATAAATGTTTTCATATAACCCCTCGTATCCAAGGTATGTGTCAGCCAGTTCACAGTGAGTAATTAATGAGGCATGCAGATAACTGCTTCATGAAGTGAGGCTGCATACCCTCACATTCTGGTACGTTTTATAAAGTAAACATAAAAATATTAAATCCTGGAGCCAGCAAATGACATAGCAGTTACATTGCTGGACTCTCACATGTTTTTTGACTAAGTTTAGAATCCATTTTTGGTGGCTTGAAACTCACATGGGTCATGTATGCATTCATGAACATGATCCTGAGAAGAGAACAGCGGACAACAGATTGTGGCTGGCCATCCCCCCAAGAGGGTTATTTCTCACATTTTCTCTCACTATGTCTGCCTCTCTCTCTCTCAGTTAAGCACATGTGACCTAAGGCAAACACTTCTTAAAAAATATATTAAGTACCTCTATGAAAATGTATGTTACCAATATGACTTTCAAAATAATTGCAGCATTAGTTGACTAATATTTATTCTTCAAAATTAGGTTGCATATGCAATTTAACATAGTCCTACCAAGTAAATTTTCAGTTTCAATAAACTAGGATAAAAAACTATTGGGGAAATTTTACAATCATAAAGTTGTATCAAGTAAAGGCAGCTCTTATTTTCCAAATTAGACTAGATAGATAGATAGATAGATAGATAGATAGATAATAATTTATATTAGGTTGTTGGGAAAGTCATGACATAATTTTCCATGTTTTTCTATGCAAAAATATATCATGACTTTCCCAATAACCGTAAGATTAATTAATTACTATAAGTAATCACTTACATACTTTATTACTCAACAAGTATTTATTGGACACTTACTATGTATATTAAGGTCCAGGATTTGAATTCTGGTCAACCATGTGAATATCCATTGCCTTAACCACCATACCATCTGCTGGCTCTTATTCTGTTTTAAAATATATCCATGTGTTTTGTATTAAAATAAAATTATCTAGAATTTATGTAAATGAGTTTTAAGTATTTTTATTCTGATTAGTCACCAATTAATCAATGAACAAATAATATCATCACATTACTCACCATATACATACTATATAGCCATACTCAAATCTGCTATCACTACAGTAAGGCATGGAAAGATGATCTTTACCCTGTTTCCTATCAAGTTAGAGAGATTAATACATCTAAATAAGATAATTAACTTCATTAACATTTCATAAAACTGTATATGACAATACCAAGTTATTTTTTCCAAATGTAAATCTCACTAGACAATAAATCAACTGTTCAATGAACTTCCAAAAGCAATAACAAAATTGTGTTACTTCTTTAAATATGCTAAACAAAAGTTTCCTACATGAGTCCCTGAAACCCAGTTATTCAATAAGCTTATACTGGATTTTTCTAATTAGAATAAATATTTAAAACTTACTACTTCAAATTGTCCATCTACCTCTAGTAAAACCACATGATCACAGGATCAGTGGATAGCATAATGTTATGTCACTAGACTCCCACTTAGTTGACTGTGATTCAAGTCTCAGATCTAGTGGCTTAAAACTCACACCTGCTTGCATGCCCAAGATCCTGAGAGAAGGATTTTCAGTATGCCCATAACTCCTGGGGGATGATTTCTCACTTTCTGTATCTCTGTCTCTCTGCTGAGCACATGTGACCTACAGCAAAACTCTCTAAAAAACAATAAAAAAAACTACATAAAAATGAAACTTAGATATTCTTAGTTATCCAGCTAAAACAGTATTAGTCAGTATGATATACTATGGATGTTATAATAACTACAAGTTCTGATGGGGCAGTTATAATTATCTCTGATAAGTATAAAAGGAAATGAGGTATTTATTACTTCTTTTCAATACATTGGTTTCCTAATGGGGGGAAGAGATAAAGAAGATTGAGAAGTGAGGAGCAGTTAAATGAGAAAAGTAAATAAAAAATGATAAGAAGGAGAAATACATGCATTCCTTCAGGTAAACACACAGATGGCTCCTTGAAAACTCCATTCAGTATATTAAAACATTGTAGAAAGTAAATTGATAGGCAAACAATGAACAAATACTAAGCAAGATAATGCAATTCCATTTTCTTTATTTTAAATAAGTAAAGAGAAAAATTGAGAACATGAAGACAGGAAAGCGAATGTTGACAAAATATATACATTCATTGAGATCAACATATATACTTGAGTTTTCACTGATTTCATCAATTATATCCTAATATTTCTCTAGGCCTCCATTCTTCATGTTTAAAGATAATTAATAAGGAAATACAAATTCTTTTGCACTTTCTTTAAGCCAGGGATTCTTTCTTTTATATTGTATCTTCCAGTCTTTACAGAAATTTTATAATTTCAGGAATTCATAATACATGTAATTAGTAAGGAAACTGAGTTTCCAACATTATTTTAGAATTATTTATTTCCTTTATTTATAATTATTGTTATTTTTAATTTGACCATAGCAAGAGAGAGAGAGAAAGAAAAAGCAAAAAGCAAGCCTAAAGGTCTGGGACTTGAATCGTGGTCAGTCATGTGGGAGTTCAGTGCCTTTAACCACCATGCCACCTGCCAGCCCCAAGGCTCAAAAAACTTAAATGACATGCCAATAAACTTCTTCAAGATTCTTCCAGTTCATTTATAAATGAAAGACCACAAATTGAGGTATGATTTTTCTCTAAGATGCTTCTCTTAGATGGCTGGGCTTATTAATTGTTACCAAGTCCTTCAGCAAAAGAGCAAAGCATGGAGCAATCTATTCATGACATTCTCTTGCTATAATTTCTGTCTCTCAACTCTCCTCTGACACCTCCACCCTTCATCCTCATCATAGCAACATAGCATTCAATGGCATACGTAGTATTATAGAAACAGACTGGTGTCCTAGATATGAACTTCTTTCCATTTAAAATATATAGTTTGAGTAGTTGTCTATTATTAATCTTGAATATATTCTTGCCTTTCCTCCACAAAGGATTTAAAACTTGGAGTGAATAGGAGGTAGCCTAATAGGTAATTTGTCTATTTATTCTTTTTTGTTGTTGTTGTTAATTATTAGAGTCTAAGTAATCATATATTTATCTTTAATTTACACATATTGTTACTAAGCTAAAAATCCAATGGATGAAGGTTATGAAAATGAAAACATTTTGACCATCACCTCAAAGCTTTTCTTACAATACCATGTTACCTCTTCCTGTAGAAGGTATATTACAAAAGGATTTATACAAGATCATTTTTGCTTCTTTACACCATTTTTTTTAAGTTTAATGTTTTGTTTTTCATCAGAATCAACCCTCAATCTTTTCCACACTTTCCTCATGGCTTGTTGCATGTCCTTATTCCTGAAAGTATATATCAAAGGATTAAACAAAGGAGTTAGGAGGGTGTAAAATATTGCCACCATTGTGTCAGAGGAGAGAGTAGATGGAGGTCGTACATATTCAAACGTGCATGGAACAAAAAACAAAACCACAACAGCAATGTGAGATCCACAAGTGGAGAGAGCTTTCCATCGCCCTTCAGAACTATGGGTTCTCAATGAGAGCAAAATGACACCATAGGAGGTAAGCAACAAGAAGAAGATTAACATGCAGAAAAACCCACTGTTAGCAACCACCAAAATGCCAGCAATATGAGTGTCCATGCAGGCAAGCTTCAGTAATGGGTACAAGTCACACATAAAATGATCAATGATATTGGGGCCACAGAAGGGCAATTGGAAAGTAAAGAGAATTTGTATCATAGAATGCAAAAAGCCCCCTGTCCAGGCTACTCCCATCAGAATGCCACAGAGCCTCCAGTTCATGATAGAAGAGTAGTGCAAGGGCTTGCAAATGGCCACGTAACGGTCATAGGCCATGACTGTGAGGACAATCATCTCTACCCCTGCAAAGAAGTGTTCAGCAAAGATTTGGATCATGCAGCCTTGAAAAGAAATAGTTTTCCTCTCATAGAGGGAGTCTGCAGTCATCTTTGGGGTGATAACAGAGGAGAAGCACATATCCAGGAAGGACAGGAAGGCCAAGAAGAAGTACATGGGGGAGCCACTCAGGACAGGGCTGCTGAGGATGGTCAACACAATTAGCATGTTGCCCCCGATGGTTGCAATGTACACAAACAAAAATACAACAAATACCATTTTCTGAACATTTGGATTCTGTGAAAGCCCCAGAAGGACAAACTCAGTTATGAAGCTTTGGTTGTGCATTATTTCCAAGAAAGAGATGAATGCTACATAAGTAAGCATGTAGAATCTATAATTAGGTTAAAAACTTGCAGATCTGTTTATAGCATTATAGTCATGAGCAAGATGGTGTACACAGCTACAAAATTATCTTGAGTGCTTCTATTGTCACTGAGAAAGTATAATGAGAAATTTGTGGTAGTACTCATCAGACGTCATAAGATTTGAGGTGGAGATAATTTGATACTTTAAAATAGCCGAAGTTTCAAAACGGTAGTACTCATCAGACGTCATAAGATTTGAGGTGGAGATAATTTGATACTTTAAAATAGCCGAAGTTTCAAAACATAGAAAAGGAAGTATCCGCATGTGGTAGAGAAAGCAAAGCTTTGATCTCATTTATGTGCTAGTTGTTTCCTAGAGTGAATTATTGGAAAGCATCTCCGTTGTGAGGAAAGAAATACCGAAATTTATTACTCATGCCTGGCATTGTCATGGAATGAGAACAGGAGTGACCAGTCTGCCACCCTTACTGGGAGATGGCTTGATCTATGAGTAGAAGAAATAACATGCAATTTAAGAGCCACTTGATAATCATGGGTAGCCTAAATTAGATGGGGGTTTTAAATAATTAATTTATCATTTTGGGCACCAAGAGTTGACATAATGACTATGTCGCTGGACTCCCATGTAATCGACTGTGGTTTGAGACCCAGATCCGGTGGCTTAAACTCACGCTGGGGGCATTAGCCTGCATGCCCAAGATAACGAGAGAAGAATGGAGGAGAAGGGATTACAGCTGGTGTGGGCACCCCAATTGGGGGGTGATTTCTCGCTTTCTGTCTCTCTGTTTTTCTTGAGAGCACACATGCCTTATAGCAAAAACTTCTCCAAATATATATATATATATTTTTTTTTTTTTTGAAAATTTTATTTCATTTCAGAGAGAAAGAATGAGAGGGAGAAAAAAGTACCTCCTGACAAGGTCTGATCTAGCTACCATCACTTTTTGCCACTCTCCAGCTAGATAGGATCTTTTTTTTTTTTTTTTTTTTTTTTAGCTATTTTGGCTATATGGCGCGTGCGCTCGCCAGAAAGACAGAGACATAGACATAGATACAGGAAGTGAGAAATCACCCCCCATGGGGGATGGTCACGTGGCAATCCCTTCTCCATTCTCCTTTCGGGATCTTGGGCACGCATGAGTTTTAACCCACCGGGTCCGGGACGCAAACCGCGGTCGACTATGTGGGAGTCCAGTGACATACGCGATTACGCTATTACGCCATTACACTAACTGCTGGTTCCCAGGATCTTGAAGACACATATGCTTGAAATGTTTCAGATTGTCTCAAGATGTGGAACCACAGTCAGCCATGTTACCTTCCAGTTATATTTGTAATATTTCAGATTGTCTCAAGATCTGGAACCACAGTCAGCCATGTTACCTTCCAGTAAGTTCAATATCCTCTCACCTGACTTACTGAAGCTAGGTAATTTATCATTTATAAGGAGAAAGATTCATGGAAAATTGCCTCACTCTATACTTAATACATAAAAAATGTGCAATAACTGTTCAGGTTTTCTGTTAACTGATTATTTAAAATGAGAACAGAAGTTCCTAAAAATAATGATGTTTATTGTAATGTTATGATGACTAAGTTAATTAATACAAAGAATGCAATTGTGCAGGACCTGCTGCCTGAGAAATAGTCTTGTTATTCTTATGTAATTGGTTGGAAACTTACCCTTCAAGAGGTTAAGTTTGAGGAAACAATGGATAGTTAGCTTGGGATTTTAACACAGAAATTCTGGCTCTAACTCCCAGTTCTTTCCCACTGGATCAACATGAAAACAAGGATTTTTCTTTTCCAGGAATAACTTCAGAGCACCAATGGCCTTTCTGTAGTGTCCACCTGCCTGTAAAGTATAAAGTCTCTGATTTCCTTTGTTCATATTTGAATGAGGCATCTTCATAAAAGAAACAGAGCGAATGATGTAGAATCAGAAGGTGATGGCCCAGTCGCTCACACATACAAATTTTCAGCAACTACATGGGTAAGGTAGAGATATAACACCTTAAATATGAAGCTTCAGGCTTTATTCATTATTTGCCAGTATTCATATAATGTGGCTCAGTCTGATTCATTAGATTTAAATGACTTTAATTTAAAGCAGACATGCTTATGTATAGCTCACCTGCTCATAATTCAGGATTAAGATAAAGATCAACTTGACAATGTGAAAATGTTGCTTATGATATAGTCCCTTACCAATTATAGTTACTATTATCATACTCAAAAAGCCAGCCACTTGGCCTGTTCCATAGCCTAAGGGTTAAGGGAGCTGGATTCCACACAGCTGACTCTGGTTCGAATCCTGGCTCAGTAGCTGGAAAAACTTGGCAGGCATGTGTGCATGCTTGTCCCAAATCAATGAGATAGAGAAATAGAGGAGAAGGTACTGCTACATGATCACATCCCATCATGGGTGCGTTCTCTCTCTCCTGCTCTCTGTCTCTCTTTGTTAAGCACACATACCCCCGAGAATAAAAAAAAAAAAAAATTTTAAAAAAAGACACCTACTCCACCGAAAGCTTTCTCATGAGCCATCTAGATAATTATTCTACTTTTGACTTTCTTCCACATAGCCACAGTTTCAAAGGATGATTGAACTGAAATGTATCAAAGGGCATATAAAAGTGTGTGAGCGTTTTGTATGCATATATACTATTAAAGTAAACTACTTTGGTCCATAATGGCCATTGTACTCTCACACCTGGATTCCTATGGATAAACTGAAATCGTTCATGTTAGGCTGTTTTCCTGAGCTGGTTACTAAATTACAGCTGATCACATTAGCCACACTTCTTTCAATCACAGAAAGCCCCATTTAAGCTGTTCGTGCAGCCGACTGCCCAGCTGCAACCAATTTAATGACTTCTCTACCTCTCTCCCTCACTTTTGTTTTTGAATGCCACTTTTTCTTTGCTTCTTAAGTCATCTTTCCTTTCTGCAGGCTTACAGACCCCATGACCAAGAGTCCAGCCAGAGTCCCTCGGAAACCATTATTTTAGGAGACTACCTGGTTTGAATCACCCACCGTTTGTTTAAATTAGCTGTATTGGAGGCTGGTGGGAAAGAATCAAGGTGAAAAAAAAAAAAAAAGGAAAACCGCAAAACAGTCAATGGATCAAAAATGAAAAACTATTTGTTGATGATAATGTGTATGGTAATACCTTTTATTGGATTAATATGCAATCTACACATGTCTGGAAAGTCCCTTTTGTATGCTGTAAAGATGTACTACTGTACATGTTTAAAAAAAATAACGGTGGGACATACATATTGTGTAGCAGTATCATCACTGGACTACCACATGACCAACTGCAGTTCGAGTCCTGGATTCAGTGGCTTAAAAAATCATGCTGGACACATGTGCGTGTGTGCCCAAGGTCCCCAGAGGAAACTGGTAAAGGGACTGCAGTGTGGCCATCTGCTCTGAGGATGATTTCTCAATTTCCCTTTCACTATCTCTGTCTGTCTGTCTCTCTCTCTCTGGTAAGCACATACACCCTAAGACAGAAACTCTAAAATATTATATATATATATACATATGTTTATTTAAAAACATATTTGAGAGGTTTTAGCTACAGGGTGCGTGCATTTGCCAGAAACACAGAGAGAGACAGAGAGGCAGAAAGTGAGAACTCACCCCCCTGAGGGGCTGGCCATACCACAATCCCTTCTGCTCCATTCTCTTCTTAGGATCTTGGGCATGCACACACATATGTCCAGCATGAGTTTTAAGCCACTGGGTCTGGGGCTCGAACTGTAGCCGGTGACATAGCCATTATGCAAACTGTTGGTCCTTCAAAAAAAATTTTTAAGAGGCTTTTGTCTTGGGAGTGTGGGCTCACCATAGAGAGAGACAGAGACAGTGAGAAGGAAAATGAGGAAACCCTCCCCCAAGGGAGATGGCCATGCTGCATTTCGTTCTCTGTTCTCTCCAGGGATCTTGGGGCCACACACACTCTGACATGAATTTTAAGTCACCATATCTGGGGCTCAAGCTGCAGTTGGCTATGTGAGAGTCCAGCCAGCAACAAAACCACTATGCCATCTGCTGGTCCCCCAAATTTTGTCTTTTTTTAACAATACATACATTATAATATATGTTTGTTTAAAAATAAATGAACTGGGTAAGCCAGTAAAGTGGTGGTTAATGCTGACTACTCGAGTTCCAGACCCAGGCACTTGAAAAACCTGCCAGGTACATGTGCATGAGTACCCAAAGTCCCAAGAGGAAAATAGAAGAGCAGGGATTGTGGCCTGGCCATCCCCCCCGTGGGAAGGAGTGCTTTCTCACTCTCCTTCCTTTTTGTTCTCTTGCTTTCTTGTCTCTCCCTCTCAATAGTGCAGGCACCATATAGGAAAAGAAAGAGAAAGAAAGACAATAACAAGAGGAAGAAAGAAAGGAAAAGAAAAGAAAAAAAGAAAGAAAGAAAGGAAGAAGCCCAGAACCATAAAATGTCAACATTCAAGGATTCAATAAGTGATAATTGACACTAGTAAATTTCTATTAGCTGAGCATACCCTACAGGGACCAACAGAAAGCAACCTGAAATGTGCACTCTAGTGGCACTGTTACAGAAAAAACCTTTAATTGGTTCCATTATAATAAAAAAAAGAAAGAAAGGAAGAAGTGAATGGCATATACCATGGTGTGTGTCTATCATCTCAGCTACTCAGGAGTCAGGTCTGATGCAGGAAGATCATGAGTTCGAGGTCAGCCTAGGCAACATAGCAAGATTCTGCCTCTAAAAAAATGGAGGAAAAGAATAATTGGCTTTATTTTGCTCATTAAAAGATAATCTATTTTTACTAATGCCACATGGAGTGGCAAAAAAAGGTAACAATTTAAAAAGACAGTAAAAAAATACAGAAATTGTACACTAATATCTATTCTTTTGTTTACTTTGAAGCAACCATGTCTATTATGTCCTCAGGTTTGTTCCTAACCAG